CTATCGTAATCCTTTTTCTTTTTTTTTCTGTTAGTATATATTATTTTCCCAAATAGTTTCTCAACGATGTTTATAATACGAAAAGGAAATACAATGATCGTAATATTACTAAATAATGTCATGGATAATCTTATGTATAATTTAACGAAAAATGAACCTTCGGCATGGAATTTTTGATTAAAGATCGGAATACGTTAACATAAAATATTTAAACGACAGGCTTTTTCTTCTTCAGACTTTTTTACGTTGAAACTTTAACGAAATTCCAGAAGTTACAGAGAAGAAAGATTTATAAAAAATTTTTAGAGTACACTACTGACGAAACATTTATCATTTAATGCGATTTAATTGATAGACTACTCTTACTAGTTTCGCAAGAAAAATCTTCTCTTTGTAAAAGAATCGTTAAATCTTTAGGGATCCTTCTATCATCTGTAAATTCGTGGGATCCAATGACGCACCGTTCGAAGATTGGCAATGAGTAAGATTAATTCATTGATATCTTGTTCTACATTTTTGAATTCCGTTATTATTTTCTAACGTAAATACGAACGATAAAGAACACGTTAAATGTTTTCATCATCGAGCTAACGTGTTTGATAATCGTTAACAAAAAATTGGTGTCACTTTCACGTGTTCTTAACAAACACACATATATACAATTGCTAGCAATGCATTCGTAGCGCGTACTTTTATTCGTCGTAAATGAATGACTCATATAATTCAAATTATACATTTTATTAACACTTTACGTAACTCCATTTCTTGTTCTTTTTTTCCATATACCTTTTTAAATATCACCATTTTTCTTAGAATTCATATTCAACATGAATCAACTATAAAAATATTTGACGATGAACTGATGTTTCGGAGAATAGGACACGTAAGTAGAAATACATCTTCGTTATACATGACTACTATGCACACATCGATATTTCCATACGATATTGCAATTTCAATGATCTTTGGATTCGGAATATAGGTCAAAGGCATTCGGTTTTTAATCGATCAGCTAGACGCTCGATAATGCGAACGTTGAGATTTGCATCAGTAAGATTATCTTCCATCCCCGTTGTTAGAATATTATCGTCGATCTTTTCTACATCAACTTGACTAGTTTATTAACTACTTTTATACTATAATCAAATTTGTACGATAAAAAGAAAGACAGAAAGAAATAGACAAAAAGAAAAAAACAACGAGCACATCGTCTATGTTCAGTCAAAAGTCAGTAATTATATTTTCATCTTATTTTCGATATAAAAAGGATCAATAATAATGTACGAAAGTATTAACAAAAAGCATACTTTATCCAAAAGTTGATTTTTCTTATGAAAAATTTTTTTGACGAGCAATAAATTCATATTAACATATAAGTATAAAAGTTAATAATTATACGTATATAAATATTAATTAGATAATTGAAAAAAAAAGTAATTACGTAACGTAAATTGCAACGTTTTTGTGTTGAACATTGAACTTTAGTCAGAACGCGTAAAAACGGCAGATATAATAAATTCATAAGTTCATTCGACAATCTTTTATTACGCAACGGTTCGCCATATTTTAGTTCATAGAGTAATTACGTTAGCAGCATTATTTTAACAATGCACGACTTCATTAATGTCCATTGTATTATTAAATTAAATATGATATCATTATTGTCAATATGTTAGAATAAATGAATTATTCGATTAATGCAGAATAATTAAAATGAAAGAATTTACACATTTCGAGATCAATCATATTCATTTTTAATTAACAAGAGATTTTTTATTAAATATTAATATTATTGATTGATTGATTGATTAAACCGTTGTTAAGCTAGTTCGAATATGAAAAATATAATTGTTAATATTTATTCGATCATTCCTACGAGTATCAAACGAAAGTTACAAATAAATATGCAATAACATTTCTTCGAAATGACGTTAAATGCGTTTTCTTATCAAAGATAAACGCGGGAATAACCGGATCCGTACGATTTTATCGTAATGATTTTCTCCCGGAGATACCGGGAAGAAAAAAGGGAAGTATTTCTCCATGTTTTTTTCGTAATAACATGCTCACAATTGTGCGAATCTTATCAGTTGCACTATTTCGCAAACTACGTATATGTCTTCTTATTCCGATAACCAATTAGTAATTATTATAAGGAAAAATAAAACGATATTAAATCGCACATCGAAAATAATAAATTAAATACGTTGATTATGTCACGAGCTAATTAATTATACATTAGAATCGGTTATAACACGTTTACCGATGATTATCTATATGCAACAAAATTTCTGAATGTATTTGTTCGAGCATCATTCATTTTGAATCATGTATTTTACGTTAAAAAAAACTATTATATATATATATATATGTAAGAAACCTAAAGACAATTTTATGATCATTAACTCTTACTCAATAGATTTTTAGCTGGAGAAATACTCGACGAATAATCGTTATTTACATACGTGTGCTAATGCATTAGTATCTGTCATTTTAATTGCTCTTATTATTATATATTCTCTTTGATAACCCTACGAAGAATCACGTAATTACAGTCAGGTAACAGTCGACGGAAATGACTTTTGCGTTTGATACTCAAGGAAAATGCAATTTGTCGTGACATAACTCGTAAGTCTAACTGCGGAAAACATTGAAAAAATTTAGGATCACGTGGCATTCTCATACGTAATTATAAATACTTTCATACTTATATACACACGTCGCTCGCGAATTGATTGTCTGATTCGTTCGTCACGTTTTTAAACAAACATAGAATAAAATTCTAACGAAATTTTGCTTTTCCCGATTTTCAATAATGATTAACCTGATTCGATATTTTTTTGTCATGGGTAAGAAACAAAAGAAAAGTTTTCCTCTCGTAGATTCTATGGAGTTTGAGTTACTACCATGATGAAGGAAGGAAAGGAGATTGGCTTCGAAGGTTAATTTCCGTCTTGGTCGTTGAATGTGTGAGTGGAACAATGTCCTTCACGGTCAACGAACAGGTGAACGAGATTTGTCCCGGCCAAGTCAACTACTTCGAAAAAGACTACTCTTCGTTTCGGTAGATAAGCTACCATATATTTTATTATCTCGACGAAAAAGCAAGGACGAGTTTATCGTCGAAACCGCTTTTGTGGTTCTTATCGTACAATTTTTCAAAAAACTATTTCACAAAGAAAACATCTTTAAAAAAAAAATAGAAAAAGACGACTAATACTAATGTAAGTCCATGAATATAACAAAAAGACAATTAAGATTATCGTGTGGATATGTGAAAAAGAAAAAAAAAAGAAAAATGCAAGGTATACGCGGAGATAAATTATTATATCGCGGAAACAGGAAAAAAACAAGACACGAATAATAAAATTGCAACAGAAAAAAAAAAAACATTTTCCTTGAACATCACTTATCTCGTAGATCAACGGTATATGGTGATTACCCGGGGCACAACTTAACTTCGCATTTATAAATGTACAATAGATAAATACGAGAGGTAACGAGAGAGAGAGAGAGAGAGAGAAAACGAGTTACGTCGTTTCGATGATAACCAACATACAAAGTTAATATTCAAAATTTCTCAGTACATTTAGAACATGAACTAATCTGCGATCAAATGTTCGTATTTTTGGATAATCGCATGAATTATCAAAAAGATAAATCAAATATAACAGAATACTACAAACAAAATATATAAAAGAAAACAATTTTATGGAATCAAATCTTTATAACGTTTCAAAAAGAAAAAAATCAAGAAAAAATAAATATATTTTTGTTAAAATTCAAAGATGAAACTAGAAGAAACTCCTAACGATATTGCATGTCACGATGTAAAAGGCGAACGTAGCGTGAAGGAACTTTGATTCGCGAACCAGAATCTCTCTCTCTCTCTCTCTCTCTCTCTATGTATATATATATATTCTTCTCTATCCTACTGACTCTTTGATCGAAAACCACACGATTACCGAACGTGATATTTCTCGCTGAAATCGAACTTTGAAGGATCCGTTCCGCATACAGAGAACGATTCGATTTGCGAAAGAGGCGCGTCGTCTTTGTATCGGCAAATTCGAGATCGTAAATCGATAATGTTTTTCCGAGATACAGGTTGATTCAAGAAATGATAAAGAGAGAAACAAAGAAAACGTTTCCGCTATTATCATTCCTTGTGAGATTATCGAAGATCGTAGTATAGCACGAGGTAGATTCGAGTAATTTTCGAAAATAAGCTACCTTTTAAAGGATAAAGAGAAAATTCTGTGGAATCGTTGCGAGATATACGCCGAGATAAATGCATCAATCTTGCAAACTCGATTGATCCTAATAACAGATTCTCATTGAAGAATAAAGATTAAATAAAACAAAAAAAAAAAGGGCGACCTTTACAACTGGAATTAATTAAACACCGAGCTTATAACGCAAAAGCTATCAACACGATTCACGTTTCAATGCTTCCACTTCGATCGCAATAATCTAATCATCTAACAACTACTTATATTTCTTTTACATCCTCGTCATTTTTTTTTTTACCTCACATTTATTATTTTTCTTTCACCTAACTTGCTAACGACCAAGCAATTCAATTGAAATCATTTAAAACACGTTGTAATAACGTAAAAATGTATACACTAGTTAAACTATTGTTTCGTGATAATATCAAAATTATAGTAGCTCGATAGTGATTTTACGCTCGAAGAAATGTAATTTAGATGCTATTTCATGATCGAAGATATTAACTACTGTCATTAGACGTCACGGATGAACACAGAAATAAGAAGAGTTTGTAGGTACACGAACAATTTTGTAAAGTTCTCGTAATTATCGGCACGATATCAAAACGGGAAAATAAAGAAAACATGCGAAATCATAGCGCGTTTCAAAATCCAAACGTATTATTTTGAACAATTCCTTTATCAACAATAAATAACGTATAATAATAATAATAATAATAATAATAAGAAGAAGAAGAAGAAGAAGAAAATGAATCAAATTAGACTCACCTCAGCAAGATATTGAAAGCCATGATCCTCGGCAACTTTTCTAGCTACTTCCGGTCCTCCTTCGATGTGAGCAGCCCACTGATTGGTATAAGCTCCGACTCTGTCGCGAAGAGTCACCAGAAGAGCCAGACACGCAAGTCCAAAAATCCTTCGAGTACACATGATAGCTCGTAGCTGTCACTTCACCGATATAACACTAATAGCACTACAAAACACTTTAGCTATAGTAGCAGCAGCAGCGATAAAATCAGCTCCACGACCAGCGCGGTAACCGATGACGATAACGATGATAATGATGACAACAACGACGACGACGACGACGACGAAAATGATTTCAACTTCACCTTAACATTTTTATCCACCGATATCCTCCTCCACCAACACCACCACCACCCACCACTGCCACCGACAACACGAAGGCCGAGCACCGTCGCCACAACGAAGGAACCACGTTGACGTTAGTCCTTGTGTCAGTGTCGATTGCGATGCATATGGAATGTCAATTGGGGCTAAAGAAGAAGAAGAAGAAGAAAGAGTAGGAGTAGGAGTAGAAGGAGAAGGGGAAAAGATAAAGAAGATGAGTAACAAGGAAATAGAAGAAGATAATATGTGATAGGGAAAATCCCGCTTAAGAAAAGAAGAAGGGGGGTAAGGAAAAAAAAACACTAAGCAAAGAAGAATTAGGAGGGAAACTAAGAGGAGGAGGAGAGAGCGAATACGATAAGAAAATAGAAGAGGAAGAAATCTAGAGAAGAATGAGGAAAAAAAAACACCTGCTCCTACGCGAACCGTCCGCCGACGACGACTGAGCCGTCAGCGGCTCGCCTTGCTCGTTAAGTACCCTCCACAGTGTCGGCCGCCTTTGACTTCGGTCCCCCGTTAACTTCGCGTGCGAAACAGCACGACAAAACAAGCGCGCGCGCGCGCGTACGCACGCACCAATTTAATCCTTTTTTTTCTTCTTTTCTTCCTTGGATAAAACACCAGACACAACGTTGATATTTAAGCTTCTTCTTCTTCTTGTTCTTCTTCTTTCTTTTTCTTTCTTTCTAGATTTTGCAAAACGTATCTCTCTATATACGTACGTGTGTATATATCTATTATGTATATAAGTGCACGCGTATATTTCGCGAGATACGATCAATTTATCTTCTCGTATCGTAACCAACCACTTCCGACCTCGTCTTAACAGCTAACATTACTACGTTGATCTCGATTGTCTTTGCTTGATCGATAGATCGACCTAAGATCGCGCTACAACAGATCTGTCGTCCTTTCCGAAGCCAGTCATGATTGTGTGTGTGTGTGTGAGAGAGAGAGAAAGAGAGATTCCTTTCTCTTTCTTTCTTCTATTTGATACTTTGTTCGAAGCTGTACACCCTCCTCTACCTCTTTCTATCTTTTTCCTTCTCTTCGTTCCACTTGGCGATCACTTTGTCGACCTACCAACGCCGATCTGCAATAAAGAAGAATAGACGGAAATAATCGTAATGCTTCCCCTTTTTCCTCCTCCTCTTCCTCATCCCACTCTACCTCATCGTTCTTTGTCGAAGAAAAATCTTTGCGATTATCTTTTATCTCGCGTTGGCACTTTGATGAACATCGTCGTGATGACTCGTCCGATTAACGATTAACGAGTCTGTTCATTTATGAAATATTATATAGATAAAGTAAAATACAATATTGTTCTTATCGACGATACAAAAGTTACGTTTTATTATTCTGATTTTATTATTGATTCAAATAATTTAATTTTAAATATAAATATCATAATATAGATTTTCTGTGTGTGTGCAATTTCAGAGCTACGGGGGCTCTTAAGAGAATATTCTTTTATGATTATTGTATTAAACGAAAAAAAAATGTCGATAATAAAATTTGAATACGTACTCTGTATGAACACCGAGTATATTTTTCGATAAATACGATGCGATATCGAGGCAAGTTAATTGCGGAAAGAACCGGATAAGCCGATTACAGCACAACCGTTTACATTGATTTTGTTAGCGTTAATAATTGCATTACATCACTCCCGCATCACAATCTTTTCTCGAAACAATTTTCAAAGTCCTATTAACTCTCAAAATGTGGAATCAAAAATTCGACCCGTAATCTTATCAGAATAGCGAATATTTCAATGAGTATTATTTTATCACGTGATAAATAAAATATTCTTTAACTAGGTATATACGACGACAAATATGATAACAAATTGGAGCGCGCGAGCATGTAATCATCCCATAAATATAATACATACAAATAACTTTACTTTATCGTCTTATCTCTTCAAATTAGATTCTAAAGTTCTATTAGTATTAACGAATGTGCGCGAGTATTTGGTCAATTATACGTTGTACTACTTTAGCAAGTAGTCGTTAAGTCAACAACTCGAAACTCGCATTTCTATTAAAGATATTATTATTTCTATATGGTATAGAAAGTGGTAGGAATTAATAGGAAAATTATGACTTTTTTGAAACAACACACACAATAAATGTAAAACGTAATATCATTTTGAAACTTTTTTTAAATATCTCGCACGATCAATCTAAATTGTAATTTCTTTTTTTAAATAAAAATGACGAAAAAATTCGTAATATTTCGACGAAGATATGGCAAAATATGGGGTGGGGAGGGGAGGGGAAAGAAAAAAAGAAATGTGAAATCAGGAAGATTGCAAAGTTCACTAAAATATGATATTGTTCAAGATGACGTATGTATTATAGCAGGTACAACACGCATGTTGTTGTTCGCATCAAAGGGCTACTCGTTAAACGAGTAATGTAATAATTACCCGGCAGATATTACATTCCATGAGTAGAGTATTCTCTGTTATGAGAGATCATTTGTATTCGCTCCACAGAAATAACCTCTCTCGATTACTTTAATTACGAAGTTGTGTCAACGAAGATACGTATATAGTACTTCGAGAGAGAGAGAGAAAGAGACTAGGACGTACTACTTCGGTAAGTCAATACCCACTCCAAATTCCCATGTTCTCTCGCTAAAGATGTAAATCCTGTTCCGTACAATGGATTAAGTCTAACGAGTGCCGAGGAAAAAGGAATGGAATTAGGTCGGAAACGCGTGGAAGTACTTTTCCGATATGAACTATAAAACGTACAGAGCTTAAATATTATATTTGAAAAAAAAAAAAAAAAAAAAAAGAAGAAAAATAATAATACAAGAAACTAAAGAAAACATCGGTTAATAAAAAAGATACGAAAGGCAAACAACGTTAGCGAAAGTAACCAAACAAAAATTGTTGGATAGATTTAAAAGACACGAGCATAATCGTTCATTGTCATACTCGTTTAATTACACTTCATGAATCGATCTAACCAAAATTTCAAACTATTGGGAAAAAGTCAAGTTGGTTTACCGCGCAAACCCCTACGTCCCGAAAATGTTCAACCAAATACTACTACCTTCCTACCTACCGACAATTGCAAACTTTCTAACATAAAATATCTTTGATTAATAAAGTTACTTTTCTAACTGTAATTGATAGTTAAATTCTTGACGAAGGAAAACGTTGTGTATATAACAAACACACGAATAGAAATAATAACGAAATAAAGAAGAAAGAAAAAAAATAGAATAGGGAAAAAGATCTGCGGGGAAATAGAAAAAGTTGTAAAAAAAAAAATAAAGAAAAAAAAGAAAAGGAATAAAAAGAAAAGAAAAGAAATAGAAAATACACACAAAAGTTCGAATACACTTATTTCGTTGAAGCTTAACGTAATTTTCGCGCTAGTCGAAAGCAACTTTGGTTGGTAATAAAAAGAAAGGTAAAAAAAAAGAGTTAAAGACAAAGAGAGAAAAAAGTAGAAGACAAGAACGACTATTCGCATTATCGGTATGTTTGAACGGATCTTCGTTCGAGTCAGCTTCCGGAAAAAGGACTCACGTCGTAAGAGCGAGTCGATCGTTCGATAACTTTGGAAAGAAAGAGAGAGAAAGGGCGGGGGTGGTGGGGAGAGGGGGAGACAGATAAGGGGAGGGATTGAGGGAGAACACCCTACTTCGTGCCTCGGAGAAAATTGCATTCGCGGCCTGACCTTCTCCCTTCTAACTCTACTCTCTCGAGTTGCGATGAAGAGAAAAGAAGATAAAAGATAAAACGAGAGAAAGAGAGAGAGAGAGAGAACTCACTGTCGTTCGCTCAGAGAAGTGAATTAAATTCGAGCCCGTACTTATCCTCTTTCTCTCGTGAACGGGTTTCCCTCTCAGTAGCCTTTTCCAAAGCCGAAAAAGCGAGGATGACCGACTGCAGCCTCTGCGTCCACACCAATCTCGAGTCCCTTTTTAATTTCAGGACAAAAGGGTCACCCTGCATATTCTGTTCATTCTTTTTTTCTATCTCTATCACTATCCCTATCTATTTCTCTAACTCTATATTATCTCTCTATCTCTCTTTTCTAACCTTTCGCTTTTTTATTTTTTTTCTCTTTTCTTTTTTTTTTTATTCCTCTGCCTCCTTTCGCTCTCTCAAAGTTCCATTTGCCGACGCCTGCCTCGTCGTAACGAATATGGACTTTCGACGTGAGCGCACAAATGAAAACGAACGAGGCCGAGATCCTCTCAGAGGGTAATAATCCAAGGCCTTTTGCGTCTTTCCATTTGTATAGTCCTTGTAGATTTAATGTATGTTCGAGTTTACACGTGTATATACCTATGTAAACTCTATATAAATAATACTCTTATTATACAAAATGATACTACTCTAATCGTAATGCATATATTATACCTAAGACCGATGAGATAATCATTCTTAAAAAAATGAACGAGGTGTACAATATTAATAAGAAAATTTCGATATTGTATTTTTCATATTAAATAATGACCTTCGATTTTTATTATTTTCTTTAAGAATACTACTGGTCAATTAATTTCTCCTTTTAGAATCGATTAACGTACTCTACGCGTGGGACAAGGTATAAATAACTTTACCGTAGGCTTACGTAAAAAGGTGGGTCGTTTATTAATAACTTTTGCGTAGGACCTCTATAACGCGTTATGTTTGAATAAAGTATATACATTTTTGTTCTTTTTTCTTTTTTTTTTATAAGACCACAATTTTATTCCTATTAAACGGGGTAAACAGTTAAAAATACTTTCGATAAAATTCTCTTTCATTTAGACGCGTCAAATTTATAACACAATTTGTTTCAATCTTTGATTATAGAACACATGTTATTTATTTTATAAATTTGATAAAGATCTGACTGTTAGTTTGAAAAATATATTTCGCGTATTCTAAAAATAAAATTTGTTCATATTTCATCAATTTTCACCTGCCGGGTTTATGAATAATTGTTTTGTGACTCGCAATAAATGTCATTACATTTCAATAAAAATCCCCACAACGTGCTGTTATAGAAATTAGTATGCGTGTTACGTATATACATATATGAGAGTACAACCTAAAAGAAAAATATTAACGTGAATTTCAAACGAACGAACGAACGAACGAACGAACGAACAAAAAGAAAAGGTAAAGAAAAAGGAAGGTGAAAATGAGAGGACGGATTTAAGAGTCAAAAATTGATTAGTGTCTCGAAATAAAAGGAATAGAAATTAATTCTGATAATAGATTACGCGAGAACAGGTGGTTGTGCAAACGACGCTTTTCGTATCACCGACAAGCTGAGGTTACATCCAAGGGATTAACCTTCATCGATCGAAAGATTCGGCCGGTAAGCAGTAATTGCGACTATTTCGAAAGCAAACCTATCGCTTTACTGCATGATTTGTAATGAATAGAAAATCTGATTAAGAAATACGTTAATAAATGTAAATATTCTGGAGAAAATAAATATCATTGGAAGATAAATCTTCAAACAATTTTTTTACTAAAGATTTATTTTTCGGACATTTTCAATGGAATATGAAGGATTACAAAAAAATAATTATCGTGATAGGATGAATATAAATCAAGCAGTGGATTGTTTTTGAAAAGCTGTTTAATTTAAATATTATCAAAGAGATATTTTCCTCGTTTATACATTAACATATAATATATATCACGTATATGTATATATATATATATACATACAGAGAATCATTTTAAAAAATAGATAGAATTGAAATAGAAATATAATCGATATATTATTCGATTCTTTTCTTTTTTTTCCCCCCCGCAATAAGAATTAATTCCTTGATTTAATCCAAGCCCATTCTTTATAATTTCAAACGGAAAAAAGTCACGAGAAAACGATACTTTAAATCGAATGGAACAACGAGCTCGCGAGCTCGCTGAAGCGTAATTCACACTTTGAGAAGAAAAGAGTCGAGATGAATATAATACCAGTTATCAACGTCAGAAAACGATAGAATAATAATTTAGACGATTAATAGGATTTTTACCGTACCCATGGGTCGAGTCACTCTGTTCCATCCCGAAGGATTTAGTTTATATAGAGCACATACGTGACCGTGATGCCTTGTAGGAGC